CACTCGTCTGGTGTATAATTATCCTGTCAATAACTGGGTGTGTGGTGCTTTACAGGAAGAAAGTAAAAAAAAAAAGGATTTTTTCTTTGTGTTTTCCTACATGGGTCAAATATAAACTAAAACGAGGCACCTCCCTTACTCTCACAGGCACAGGCTGTCCCATCCGCAGCCAGGTGCCGTCACTCGCCGTTTTGGGAAGTGATGGCATCAACCTATCTGGGTGGAAAGAGGAGAAAAAGACATGATGTTTACCCAGGGGAGTGAGTTACCCCAAGAAAAACCAGCTTGCACGACGAGCCACGGCGGCTGCTGGGCCATCTCCGGCAGCGCGGGAGCAAGCGTGGGGTTCGAGCTGGAGCTAGGCTGGTTCCTAGCGGGAAAGCACAATTAAAAGGGTGATTAAAGCACTACCTGTGCACAACCTTCCCCTCTCCCGTGCCTGGCTAACTCTGCCAACGTGGGTTATTCACAGAAGCTATCCCGATTGGCGTTGTCTGCTGGCAAGCTGGGTCAAATCAAGGCAATTCTAGTCATAAAAGAGGGATGTGGGGAAGAGACAGGGCAACGCTGTGAATTGGCATCGCTCGGGTGCCCCGGAGCTGGCAGTGCAGGCAGCAGCCAAGGGGAAGGCAGCGGGGAGCACGGCGGGGGTCCCATCCTGTCCCCCATCTCTGCCACACGGCAGAGGGGAAGGAAAAACAAAATCCAACTACTTTCTTCCAGAACAAAAGAAAGTCACTGGAACACTTCACAGCACTGCAAACACACTTTGAAGCAGTAAATATCTCTATTAGCATCGTGATGCCAGTTGGCTAATTATGTCTGTCTCGGTAAAAACCACTAAAAAATAACCCCGTGCAAGTAACGACTATTTTGTTGTTGTTTTGTTGCTATTTTACAATTTGAGATAATCTTCCTGGTCTCTGAATCTTTGCCTTTAATACGGTTCGGGGCGGGGGGAGGAAGATGCATAAGCAGGAACAAAAGCAGTAAGGAAGAAAAAAAGATAAGAGATATGGATCTTATCCGAGCTTTCAACACAAATGGATACACCCCACGCTTCCAAACGCCACGGCAACCTGCTGCTGCCCCAGAGAAGTTTTGCCCCTCCGTGGGTGAGTGTCCCAGCCCGTGAAATAGGGGGGGACACATGTGCCTGGCACAGCAACGTTACAACCACTCCCTTAAAAATGAAGAGCCGTCGTGTTTTATTCTGTTTAGAAAACGTACGACGGGCGCAACGCGAAGAAGCTGGAGAGAGATGGGCCGGTGGTTTTTGGTGTCATGAATCTCCAGCGGTTATCACCGTTACCCGAAAAGCTGAGCACGGGTCTATACACACCGAAGGAAAAGCAGAATCGGTGCTTTTTTGGGGTTTTTTTTTTTTTGATCTCTCATTTCTGCTGAGCGAGAGAAAGCCGGGGTTGTGTTTGGGGTGTGAAATCCCTTGAAATCCCGTTCCTGAAGAGCGCGAGCTGGCTGAGTCACAGCCGGAGTGTTCCCACCCCGGTCCCCCCCGGCGCCGCGGGGCTTGGGGGAGCATCCCGGCCCCTGGCCCAAACCGGCCACCCACACCCCCCACCCCCGGGGAGGTCACCGGGAGTTTGGGAAAGTGGTGGGGTTCAGCTGGGGGGGAGGAGGGCGAAGCACTGCAGGGAGGGGGTGGGAAGAGCTTAAAGTAGGAAAAAAAGTGTGGGTGGAGAGAATCCTGCAAGCTTCTACTCGGGGATGCTCAGGAACCCCAGGGAGGGGAAGGTGGGAGAAGCTGTGGCTAATTTTCTCTGAAGTTTCCCCAGCAATGTCATATATTTACTTGGCTTTTCCATGTGCAAACCCAGGGCCACACACCAAAGCAGCTAATTCTCCTCCGGATGCACAGGAGAGTTGCAAACAAACCTCGCAGGCGCAGGGAATACAGCTCAATGAGGTCTGCGGGGAGCTGGAGTTTAAAACATGTAGCTCCCCCTCCCACTCTCCACCAGTCCCCTGAAACACAGGCACGCAGGAATTGCCAGCATGAATCAGACTAAATAATGTCTAATTTGGGGAGGCGATGGTCCTTTGGCCGCGTTGGACCGAGCAGGACATCAAACCTCGGCTCCATCCCTGGCCCGGAGCGTGCCCAGGGGATAAAATAATCATCAGCTGCGACCCTCTCCCCATCACACCTTTCATCTGAGCATCGTTTTGCACCCCCCCATCAGGCCCCCTCGTAGATAAGCCAGGGATAAGCACGGGGCATCTTCACCCACGGCATCGCCTGCTGGCCCTGGGGATGCCGAGCTGAGCCACTTGCTGCCGAACCCGGGGCTGGGGAGGGAAGGAAGGATGGACAGATGGACGGACAAGCAGCACACGAGGGAGAGGGCAGGGAGAGCTGAGGCCGGGCAACGTGGTCGCTTGTTTTGGAGGTTAATTATGTGATAAGATCACCTAAGATCAGGTGATCTTATTGCAGCCTTCTAGTACCTAAAGGGGGCTACAGGAAAGCTGGAGAGGGACTTTTTACAAGGGTGTGGAGTGACAGGACAAGGGGCAATGGATTTACACTGGAAGCGGGGAGATTTAGAGTGGATCTAAGGCAGAAATTTTTCACTCAGAGGGTGCTGAGGCACTGGCACAGGTTGCCCAGAGAAGCTGTGGCTGCCCCATCCCTGGAAGTGTTCAAGGCCAGGTTGGATGGGGCTTTGAGCAACCTGGTGTAGTGGAGGGTGTCCCTGCCCATGGCAAGGGGTTGGAACTGGATGATCTTTGAGGTCCCTTCCAACTCAAACCGTTCCATGATTCTGTGATTAATTACCCGGACACTGAGGAAAAGTGACGCCGAGTCCCTGAGCACTGTCAATATCCATGTTCCTGCCAGAGGCGGTGGTGG